ATTCTAGTTTCACACCACAGTATTTCGGGATAAATGTTACTGTTTACTTTTGAGAAATTGTCTATTTTATATATACATTTTTTTGCATCAAATAAAAACGAAATAGGTTGTTACGTGATAGTGGGTTATATAATAGAGTGATATTTAAAAAAAAGTGTTATAAACCTTTTGTGGATTGTAAATTCTATAAAACAACAGTAACTTCTAAAATAAACATTTTAATATCTTCTAGCTTTTGACTAAGTTTTAGTCATCATCAGGAAAGCTAGAAGATATTAAAATGTTTATTTTCGGAGTTACCGTTGTTTTATATTTTATAAAAATACTCAGTGGTTCTCGTAATTGTAAACCCTCTCCTTACACTTTACTTGTCCCAAATAAGGGCTGACTGTAACGAATTTGAATCCGCAATACCATGGCGTGACACTAATAATTTAACTCAATGTTTTTTAATGTTACTAACTTAACAAGGTTGATTTCGAAAAAAACCAACAAGAATATTAAACGAAATCTCAACTTGTGAAACATTTGTCTGAAAGTTACGGTTTGGCAAAAGGTTGTCCCTTACAGTAAGCTAAAATAAAGAGTTCTTTAAACTTCTCTGCCTTGTCCATGTGTACAACAGGTATTGTTAATTCCCTGCCACAAGCTCCTATCAAAGGGAAACATACTTTGTGGTTTGGGTTTCTGAGAAGACATTCATGATCAAATTTTATTCTTATGGTGGGCATTTCCTTTGACGTTACATGCTTGTGCCTTTGACCGGTAAGCCATCCCATGACACCTCCAACTGACATCTCTGCGGTTTCAAACAATTCTTCGGATGTGGGTACATCATTTTCAGATTCGTCGCGGTTCCAAGCTACTGCAGCTGGGTACCCTGACACTGGCGTGTCGTCTAGGGCAATCAAAACATCTTGAATATAATCCATTATAGACTCCTCAATGACACGTTTTGTAGATCCTTCTTCTGAGAAAATAGGCTCCATCAAGGAGAAAAGGTAATCTGCATCTGGAACCAAATCCTTCTTGAAATCCTTGACAAAAAGAGGACGACACGCATCAGGATTCGTCTCGATCATATCCCCAAGACCATAGACATCCAAACCTTTCTTGAACTCTTGCATGTATAGCATACGATTGCTAACAAATCTGACCTTCAATGAATTTATAATATCCTGGATAAACTTCTGGTCGACAACTCCTGTGTAGCCGTGCTCTATTATGAAATCTGAATGCTTGGTACAGTCAAGTGTAATATTAGCAAGTGTTACCTTTTCTTTTTCAGCCAAGTCTTTTTCATCGACATTTGTCAAATCTGTTTCCGTGAAAATGCTGTTATAAGCACATTCATCTAAAAAGCATGGTGGTGGTCCACCTTGGGCTAGTGAAGCAGCAGCCATCTCACCACAGGTACGAAAATCCCCGTTTTGCACATGATGTGTAGAGTTAACAGGAACACCATCTTTAAATAAAGTTGCTGCTATGTTTTCGATTGTGTCTTCAAGGAACTCTTTTGCAATTGCTCCTGAATCGATTTCTGCTTCGCCACTATACTTTACCATAATTCTACAGGTTGGTGACTTTTTTTTAGTCTGGCGCTGCCAAAGGGAGAAAATTCTTGAAAGTGGAGCTTTTCGTCGAGTAGCTATGAAAAACTGATCATTTCCTTCCACTTGTGAAGAAAGAGCATAGATTACATCTTGCTTATCTTTAATCAAAGTGCTTGTGACATGTAGAGTACTGTCTGAATCGTTTCCTTGATGTGAACTTGAAGCAAGCTCAATATCTTCATTCCATTCTTGCTGAAGCTGTCTTGCTATCTGTTCGTCTTGACTTGTACATGTATCTTGTCCCTTCTGGCTTGTACCTGGATCACCAGGTGATACATTACCTCCCATAGGTTCAGCGAATGATTGTACAGAAGAGTCCATTTCTTCATTCACTTCATCAAATTCGTTAGAGGATTCCACCATTCCCTCATTCAGATCAATATCGGACTGGGTGCACAAATAAAAGGTAATTCGTTTGTAGTCCCTCCCCAGTTCAAACCTGTACTTTTCCAATTCAAAGAAATCTTTGGTTCCAGGCATAAAAAGTGCAGTGCTTCCATCTTCATACAGCAAATCATACCTTTCATTAGCATCAAAGGACCTGTCAAAAGCTGTCATTTTCTCAGTTGCTTTTTGCAAAATTAATCTACAGGTAGCAGACTTTGGAACTCGAATAGGAAGTCTTTTTCCTTTAACAGTTTTCAGACAGCTATCCTTGAATCTCTTTATCCCGATGTACACCATCACCAATTCATTTGGGTCAGACTTTGCCTTTTTAGTTGGTCGAAAATGAGTAACGTTCTCCTTGCTAGTTTTCTTCTTCAGGAACTGCTCAAATGTTAGCACTTTTCCACGAGCGACACTTTGTGGTCTACCAAATGATGATTTAGCTGTTTCTGACTTATCTGTCTTATTGTCTTGCTGATTAGTGTCACCACTAGTTGAAGGCTCCGAAGTGCGACCAGGTGGGCCAACTCGAGTTTGATCACCGCCGCACCCCCAGCAATAACGTATCCCATCTCTCAATTTAGCTGAACAAAGCCCACAAAATCTAAAACAAATGCATTTAAAGGATTAGTGTCACACCATGGTATTGCAGGATCGTTTTTTTTTTCTTTGTGGCCAATTTTTGGAATGGCAAAGATCACTGAGACAGCTTTAGAATCCATAAAATGTTTTAAACATGCTTTTGTCATAGCGTTTCTTCTTTACTTTATTACATTGTATTCATAGCAAACAATCTAATTACATCGTTATTTATTTGAAGCTATTTACTTCAAGTGTAAACAATAAGTTTGATTAACCCACAGTGCTATGGTGTGACACTAATACTTTAATAAAGTCAGTTTTTATTTGGTAAATGTGGTTATTTATAACATTTTTTGGCTGAATAGAATTTTTTTAGAATAAACCAAATAAATTTTTTATTTCATAAAATGTTTTCTTTTAGTGTACAGGGATAGATTAAAAGAAAAGAAATTATGAAATAAAAAAATGGGATCACCAAACTCAAATCCAAAGTATCTGCCATATTAAAATGTCATTGTTGCCATAGTAACAGCAGTACGAATCGTACACGACAAATCGTAGCGTGTAAACATAGCTTTATGCTTGTCAACAATAGACTATACCTGTGGTTGGTTTATGCTTTTCAACCAAATACAAGGCAAGCATACACTCGTAGTTCGCACTGACATTATAATAAATTATTTTAGCAATTCTTGGGGGTATTTAAAGCCATTTTAACAATCATATGGTGCCCATTATCTATCAAAACATTAAAACATCACAGATCACTTTTACCAATTTCAACAACCACAATAGATTTTACAAAGAAATTCTGTATGTTGTTAGTAGCAACGCCTTATTTTATAAACCTACATGCACAGCCAAAAATAAATAATGAAGCCGCGTTCATTTCATCTAGCCGTGTTTTTACATTTTTGGCTGCGATAACACGGCCAACACGGTCTTCTAGTTAAGACCCTGCTCACCTATTTCCAATTGAGGGGATAGAAATGTCTGGTTCACCAACTGCACCTCTAAGTGATTACCCATTTTTGTACTTAAGGTTATATGTCTTACCATTTTAATACTAATAATGATATTCATATTCCAATTTATTTTTTTTTGGGGGGGGGGAAATTGTCCCCCCCCCCAATTTATTTTCAGATTGGAGGGATTTGGGATTTTTGATGGGTACCCCCCCAAAAAAAAACCTCAAATGGCCTTTGACTACTGTTTGAGCATTCCGATTCAGGCTCCCTCAGCTGTAACTTTGAGGCAATATGTACTGCTCAGACTGACTATTGCTTTTCCCAAAAAAATGGCTGAAAATCAGATGGAAGAAAATATTTATGCAAGTTATAATCACAATATGAACATGTGTATTAGTTGTATGTACTAGTTAAAACATGAGCAGCCGATCTTTATCTGATATACAAACTCAAGCCGAAGGCGAGAGTTTGTATATCACATACAGATCGATGCAAATGTTTTATCGCAACTTAAAGAATGACCCATCTTACAAGTTGATTGGCGAAGTAATTTTAAAAATAAACATTAACATTGTCTAACCCGAGAAAATCAAAGCTGAAGTTTATGCAAATCACTGAGGACAAATCTTTACAAACATGATTAAACATTAATTTCTTTTGTATTTTCCTCGTGAATTATTAATGTATTTTTAATTATAAATAGAACTTTTTCAATTAGTCGCCTTGGTGATTACAAGTCTATATTATATTCACTTCGCCTTCAGCTCAATGAATATATGCTTGTAATCACTTCGCCTTCGGCGGCTAATTGTTAATTATCAAATGAACTATGAACACATCAGTCAATAGACTCTGGTAAATAACTAAATATTAAAACAAATCTTGCTAAAATTCACAATCTCGTGTACGTTTTTAAATTACATATTTTTATAAAATTTAAACATATTTTTAAAACAATTTGAACATATTTTGCCAGGCTACTATCATAATTTATAAATAATAAAATGACTTTAATGGAATGACAAAATCACAAACACAAAACGATAAAAACTTACAACACGTTTTCTTTGTCTTTCGCCGCCATTTTGATTTTGGAGCAAATATAATATAGCCAGTAAGGAATCTGGTAACTAGAACCAAAGAAAATCTACTTCCGCCGTGAGATCTTCAATTGTTGCCGTGGATTTTCAAAGTTGCCGTGAGATGTTTAATTGTTGCCGTGGATTTTCAAAGTTGCCGTGAGATTTTTAATTGTTGCCGTGGATTTTCAAAGTTGCCGTGAGATTTTTAATTGTTGCCGTGGATTTTCAAAGTTGCCGTGAGATTTTTAATTGTTGCCGTGGATTTTCAAAGTTGCCGTGAGATTTTTAATTGTTGCCGTGGATTTTCAAAGTTGCCGTGAGCTTTTTAATTGTTGCCGTGGATTTTCAAAGTTGCCGTGAGATTTTTAATTGTTGCCGTGGATTTTCAAAGTTGCCGTGAGATTTTTAATTGTTGCCGTGGATTTTCAAAGTTGCCGTGAACATTCAATGCAGATGTTGCCGTGTAATATAAATGTTGTGCCGTGTACGTTTCAAACTGTTGCCATGACACCTGTGGGCCACCGTAGAAAAGGCATGGTAAAATGCCAGGTCCGTAGTCAATGGTTGCATTGCAGCTGCGCTGGCATAACACTCAAAGAAGCACTGATACAAGATGGTTCGTCCCTTTGTAGAAGTTGCAAGCTTAGGTAAATCAAGATTATTAAAATATTATTGAACTTGGTTTTGTTGGTGAAGAGGCCAAGGACAAGGTTTTGCGATTGAACTAAAAAAAATGTGCGTCACTGTCTAATTATGAGGTTACTTTTTTATCGAAACTGTCTTCAGAAATCAGAATAAGGGAAATAAGGTTTCCAAGCCTCAGGTGCTTCATTGGTGGAACTTAGCATCTCTGTTTCTCAACATTCAACATCGGCAAATAATCAAGAGACAAACAATTCACAATATTTTTAAAATGGCTTCAATAAAATTGTAAACATTCAATTCTCAGTAATATTTTTTGGGCCCAAACTGAGAATATTTATAGACACTATAGCACACAATACATGTTAATGTTTCAAATTTTCAGTTATTTTCATTTGCATTTGTTCACAACTACCGGGTGTACAAATAATATCCCGTTTGATTTCCTGTAATGTGAAAACTATTAGAGTTTTATTGTATTCAAAACTGGCCAACTTAGATTTGATATATAACATTTCATTCTCTGTGTAATATTCAAATGTTGACTGTGCTATATTGATGTTTAAAGTATAACTACCATTTTTGAACAGGCAAAAATTAGCATAAAAACCCGTTTGGTTTTAATACTTGTGAAATATATTTATTCTGGTTAAAATAACGCATATTGTACTATATATGTATCAAATAAAACAATCCTATTTTACGAAAACGGGAATTTGATGGGCCGTTTTTCGCTAATTTTGGCATGTTCAAAAATGGTAGTGCAACTTTAACACATCAATAGACAATAGTGCAGTGAAATACTGTATTGGACGGAAAATGAAATGTTATATATCAAAATTGGTTCTTTGTGAGTACAATTTTAACTTATGTCAGCACAATAACTTTTATAGCGGAGGGTTTAAACTGCAGGTGTGCAGGTTGCAGGTGTGATATTCTTGTACAAGATCAAAACTTGAAATTCATGAACAGGTGTGACGCACGCAAAAAATTTTATCTTAACTAAGTTTGAATTCTTTTTTATAATTGATTTTTTCACTCTTTGCGAGAAACGTCCACCATATTTAATTCTTAGCTCAAAAACACCTGATATCCCACAGGCGGTCCAATCTCAGAATGAATGATCAGGTGTTGTGGGTTTTTAACGGTTTTTATAAACAAATTTATAGTCAGCCAAAACTATTTTAAAAACATTCTTAAATTAGTCAAATAAATACATTTTAAGACTTTTAACAATAAAATATAGTTGACATGATAGTATAATACCTTTACATTCTTTTAATTACTCCATGAGCTCATTTAGAGCGGTTGATGTAACATTTTCTGTGGCCTACATTGTGTGTGCTCATCTATATATAATATAACAGTAAAAGGCTAATCACTGGCGCCACGACCACATCGCCTTCAAAGTCAAATACCTCCGCTCAAACTTCTCGTACGCCAAAACTAATTCGATTACATCTCTTTTCACAAAGATTTCTCTTTCTAAATAATATGGTTTGATCGTAGCTTGAGCAAATTTAGCGATGAACGGAGCCAAAATCTCCTCAATTTCGGATACTGTTCAAAATACTTATGGCTGCTCGGGCACGATCGTGGACGTGACGTAATAAGTACCGCCTTACGCGGGGTGGGACAGCAGTCAAATTTATCCCTACTCGGGATGGGAGGGAACCAAATTCGTCGCGTGATTAATATTAAATTAAATTTTCGTTATTAATTTGAATCGTTGGTTTCACTATATTACCGTTCGTGACAAATTGGAATATTTATAAAACTATATTCGACTGCCAATCAAGAGCAGGCGTTAAGATGTTTACCAAATTCAAAATTTTAAATTTAAATTCAAAGTTATCAGCATGTTATCGAAACAAAGGAAAAGAAAATTTTATGATCAAGACAGCGGAAAATATAGGGAGAGTTCATCGCTAGCATATTTCAGCTGGAAGTCGTGGTAAGTTGAATATTTAATATTTTTCATTATTAATTAAAAATTTCGCTCATAAGAAAGGACCCGCATTTATAAACATTGCCCAAATGTTGCATCTTTTGAATTGAAACGAATTGAAACGTTCAGTTTACATTCATTTACAAGCATAGCGAACCAGAGAAGTGTTAGATACTCAGTTAAATATATCATATTTTACAAACATAGCATTTCAAAATGTAAACAAAGCGTTTGTTTACATTACGGATTTTACGGCATCTTTAAATCGGTAAAGCCTGGTTCACATATATGCCTGTGACGTACCGGCGACGATGTCGGTGGTAGCTTAAAACGTGAATGATGTGAATATTTGTTCACCGATTGCCTCCAGTGGCACAGTTACATCGGCGGTAGGCCTGGAAAATTGACTTGAGTTCAACTTTACCGGTATTTCGGCGGCAAGTAGAGGCATAATGATACAGTCGCAGGCTTACTGCAGGCATATGTGAACCAGGCTTAATACGTAACGGCATACTTGTTTGTTATATACTAAACGATTTCTCTCATGATAAATCAATGTTGTTTCGTCACTTAAAGTTTAATTTTTATAAGGTATATCGCTCCCAACTCCAAACCCTTATCTAACCCCTATTATAATAACAACCCGAACTGCGTTTCACTTTCAGCAAGCAGCGCCTTTACCATATACGCTAACGGCAAACTCGGTAAAAGCTAGCGTAAACAATTATCACTTATTTACTGGCCCTTTACTGAGACCGAGGGAAACAGTGTGTTTTATAGGCTAATAATAATGGCTTTATTTCCCACATTTCAACAGCGGATACGCTAAATTATAATGTGTTTACAATTTGTCAACTACTTGTTAGAACTACAACTGATTCTAGAATATTACATGCATATACATTATACAAAATTATAAAAAATGATGCCAATTAAACTACTCTTATATTCCAAACACAATCTGCCCACCTGACAACACAATTTCTTATTAGCATCATATTAACATTCTCAATTAAAAACTACCAATGCCGGATTAACCATATGGAAGAAGCGGCATATGCCATGGGCCCGCGCTTTTGGGGGCCCTGCGCTTTTCCCTTCTATTTTTCTTCTGAATTTTTTGTTCCCTGTTTCAGCGCGGGGCCCAAACAGTGCGCCAAGTGTGGGGCCGCAAAGAGCCCAAGTCCCACACGGAAAACTCGAGGCCCCAAAAAAATAGGCCCAAGCGTTTTCTTTTTTGTTCCCTGTATTAGTTTTTCAGCGCGGGGTCACAAAGAGCCCAAGGTCCCCAAAAAACGTTATAGGCCCCCAAAATTTAAAAATCATAATGATTCTTCTTTTTTTGTAAATACACAGGAAACTTTACAACGCATGAAATACAAAAGGGTATTTTTTAATCTTACTAATTCAGTGGGCCCGAGAGGTGCCACAAAACACACTGCTTTCCCGAGGTCTCAGTAAATAAGTGTTTTGTTATATAGTACATAAGTGTCAAAGTGTTAATAATTCACCGGTTATTGGAGTGAACTTAATTTGAAACAAAAACTGAATAAATGGAACGCCGTAAATGTTTAATTAAATTGAGAAAAAGTTTAAAAAATGAACTTTGGAACTTAATGGTTGACACGCATGCGTACTGCACCCATTTTATTATTGACTGGTCAATACTGAAATGTTTCATTGTTGACCGGTCGCCTCCTCCGCAAAGCATGCAGTGAACATGACGTTTTGTGGACCGGCACGTGATACAGTTTTGACCAATCGGCAAACAGAAAACTTTGACTCTAACTATATCACAAAAGTTTTTATATTTAACTATAATCACGATACATGCAGCTGGCAGCAGTTTACTTAATAGCCGCCTGCCGGCGGAATTGACAGTTTGTTATTTATTTTATTCTAGGTTGATATCAAATTATGAATTTTCTGAGGGTTGTTGTGTTTTAACGTGTGATGATATCATACAAGAAGCGAATCAGGTAAAAGAGAATATCGCCTGTGGATTACCTCTCGGTAAAAAAAGGCTTGGCACGGCTATAAATGAAATATGGCACGGGAATGTGAAAAAAGTGAGGAAAAATGTAGGACGAGAAACAGAAGAAAGAAAGTGTTTCTATGTCAACCTCAAAAGAAAATCTACTCATCTGCATCATTTGTGCAAAGAAGACTCTTTTCAGAAGCTCATGAATAACAAAGAGTTAAAATTGCCAGATAACTGGATAAGAGTTTCAGACTCCGCCCACAAGATAAGTTTTATACGTAATGAAAAATGGTCTTTTCGCGACCAGCGTGTGACAACGGAATTTAGTGTAGTCAAGTTGTATGATGCGTTGGATAATGCATGTCTTACAGATCGTCCATTGGAAGTACAAGTATTGACTGTACTGAATTTGTTAGACCACTCTAATTTGTGCCAAGGTTTTTATATTGAAGATGGTGCTACCGTAATAGCTCTTGTTGACCACGAAAGCGGTTCTTTTCAAGACATGCAGACGATCCCAACGGACAATTCTGGAAATAAAGAATTCAGAGGATTTTCTTCAAAATGCAAAATTTTGTCATGGCAAATGCTGTGTTAGCTGCCAACTACTGCACGACTTGGACTCTCAAAGAAAAGAAAGCGTAAAAATACAGTCATCAAACCGTTTTGTCGAAAGGACTATCTTACCAAAGATGAAGTTATTGCAGAACTGGAAAATGAAAGGCGAAAAAAAATTAATGCAGAAAGTCGAGAAAGGTACTGGCGTGAGCGATTTGACTCGGAAACGTTGAGATGGAAAAAGCTGATCACGATGACCTCTCGTCCATGATGCTCAGCTTATCTGCATATGAAGACGTGCCTGAAGACATGAAGTGCCTATGGGAACAACAAAAGAAGATGATAAAAACAAAGAAAAATGGCTATAGATGGCATCCAAAGTATGTTAATGCTATCATAAATCTATTTGTGCATGCCCTGATAACGCTTGCATGTAATTGCCAATTTGGTAAACGTACATGTAACACGTACATGTAACAACTGTATAATGTATTTACGCTTTTTCTTATAATAATTTCAGTTCTGGGAAATTAAATATTGATCTCAGAATGCACACACTACATGTATGACTTCTATATTATTGCTTTATTCATTGAATTTTCTGTTTCTTGCTGCAGGGTGATGAGATTATGCATAGACCTGTATTGCAAAAACCCTCATGTGCTGGATCCGCTATGGCAATTCATCGTTTTGCCAAGCAACAATACAATAAGGTATGATGCATATACTAATAAACATATTTTTGGTTGAAATATTGCATCTTTTGACTTTTATGACGACTGACAACAGTTAATTTGTAACCATAACTGATCCAACGAAAGGCACTGAATCTGTTGTTGTTGAGACTGCGAATGATAAATGTTAGGTCCTATTCCCGTCCGATAGCCAACCAATTAGAATTTACCGATATATTTATTGAACAGTCGCAAAAATTAAAGACGATGCATGATTCCTGTCATATGTACTGTTGAATTATTATGAGATGTAGCAACTGCATTGTAAATAGAGAATACATTCTCATTTTAATTAGTAATAATAATAATAATAATCTTTACTTCATCTATCAGTAAAATACATATCGTATGTTACATAGTAAAAACTTTCTTAATTCTATGTATACAAATTGTTTTTGTTAATTATTTCTAAAACCTAAATTCCCAACTCATATTTAAAGATTAACCGATTCTTAAAACAGTTTTATAGTGGTGTTAATCTTTGGCTTAGGGATATGTTCATTTTTGAGATTGTGTTCGGTATTTCTTACTATAATTCATATAATGGATGGTTCTCTAATTTCCTAACCTTGTTAAAGATCCTTTTATCTTGTTCATTTAGCAGTAGTTTGATGTCAATTGGCTTAGATGTATAGCCACGCTTTTTACAGCGATATAAAAACCGCTGAACACTATAGAGTTATGCATTAGAGGCTCCATACACTGACAATCCATATGTAATGTTAGGCATAACTAAAGCCTGAAATAAGTAGTCCATTTCGTTCGGACTGTAACCTTCTTTTCGTAAAATAGATATACTTTCGAAACTTCATTCAATTATATAAGCCTTTATTGAAACTCCCATCATGGCTATATTATATAATGTATTCATTTATAAAGACTGCATAAGAATAAAATCAGAGAAAAAGTTGGATGGAACGACCAGATGATACAATGGTGCCTGGATCAGGCAATAGCTAAAGAATTCAATGACACGGATTACTGGGGTGGATTTGCGTTGGACGAGATGAAGATCCAGGTAATCTGGACTGCACACTGTTTATATCTCAGGAGTCTATTCTTCTCCAAAATTCAAAAATGCGGGATAAAAAAACTATGTTAAATCTGTACGAGTAATTTTACTCCAGTATTTTAAACTCCACTTTTTGAGTAACTTTTATATTCCATTTTTTAAGTTATTATTTCTAATAGACTTATTTTAAATAAAAAATTTATCGATATCCTGATAAAAAATAAAATTAAATGACTGATTCGTGCAGCCGAAATATATGACATAGTATCTTTTAATTTCCATTCCATTTTCTGATCCAGATGTTAATATAATATTCAAAGCTGTAACTATATCCACTATTCATGCATGTCATGTTTGAAATGTATGCATAATTCATTTTTCTATCTATGATAACAATTTACAAATGAAAGCTGTCGGTATGGTTTTTCTATTTTGAATTATAGGAGAATATAGAAATGACCTTTGAAGAAGGAAAACACAAGCTTGTTGGTTTAGTAGATCTTGGAAAGGGTCATGATGCAATGCGAACTCTAGCAGGTAGCCTACTGCATGTGCTTTGTTACTGAACTATAAAGCTATTTAGTTTGAAATGAGGGACGTCTTACTCCAAAAATCTCGCACCCTTTGCCAAAAAATGTATGAAACAATTGTTGTATTGTCTGCTAAAATTCTTAGAAAAGCCTGAACAGTTTTATTTAAAAATTAAAAAGTTTGGAAAAATTCCCGTCAAAAAAAATCCAAAACATTTCCCTTCGGCTTGAACATAAACTTAAGAAAAGACATCGCATTTATTATTTTGTTTCCCTACTTACCTGCAGATGGCCATGCACTTAGCCAAAACGACTAATTATCTATAGCGACATTCACCTATATTTTAGGTGCTGTTAAACGACGAAAGAGTACTCTATCCATGAGAGAAGTGCTGTTAAATAATGAGAGAATATACTCTCTCAACATGAATGGAACATTTTTCTCACTTTTATGTTTAATATCTTATCGATTTCTTTTATATATATATATAGGCGCTTGTGATGAACCAGAACTGGCGACTCAGGTGTTACAATTTGTTTTCTTAAGTGATCGTGGACTTCGATTTCCTATAGCACAATTCCCGTCAGGCAATTGCACCCCCAGTGACATTTACTTCCTCTTCTGGGAGGGAGTATTAAAGATGCAAGAATATGGTTTCGTGTAAGTTTAACGCCGAAAGTATAACACAGCAATTTCAATTTTTTATGCATTCCTAAAGAATGTAAAATAAAAATATCAAAAAATATATCGCACATCCCTCTAAAGCCCTGGGCAAACTAAGAAACAATGTTGAAACATTTGTGATTCTCGCGATGTTTCCCCAAATGTTTCCCTGTTTGCCCACCCGTGGAAACATTGTTGCGGAAACAAAATTTGCTTCCCGAGAAGCAAAAATGTTTCCTAGCGAATTCAGAAACATTTGATGTTTCCCTGTAGTTTCTCACTAATATTTTCAAGTGTTTGCCTACTATTGGAAACATGGCGAAACATTGGTAGGAAACAATGTTTTCTAGTTTGCACAGGGTTAAGAAGCATGTTCATGCAAATTCAACTTTTCCTTATTTTGACTCTCATAAGTTATCTAATGATAAAAATTAACATTTACTAAAATATTTCAATGGGGCGATTCAAGATTTCGACACTTTTACAAATGTTAATTCAAGTATAAGCTATATATTTATAAATTATATAAAAATTGAATGCAAACGAAAAAGCTAGAGTAGTTTGAGTCACAGAATTTCGTATTGACATTGAAAGTAAATAAACTGAATAAAGAAGACTGTATATCCATCTTGATATCAATTAATATCCTCCATGTAGTGTGTACTGGTGTGTCTTGGACGGTGCTGAGTGTAACCGACAATTTATAAAGATGCATTTCAAGGGCAACTTTGTGGAAAAAAAATTTGTGACATGTAACATATACACTGGGAAACCTATGATATTCATTATGGATCCCAAGGTGATTAGGTCATATATTTTACTATAAATATAAATAGTTAGTTACTTATATCGATTGTATTGTAATTTAGCCTTACATATATAATAATCGATATATGCTAAATTCCAATCTCGTACCCAGGGTCCCCGAAATTCCAATCTCGTACCTAGGGTGCACGTGACATATTATGGTTGACATGATTTGTCAATAAGCGCATATAATGAGTGTTTGAAACTATTTTTAATATGAATAATTATTTATAATAATTAAGTACATTTCGAAAATTAAAACAAAAACAACCAAAGCTTAATGATTATTGTATACATGTATAATTATGCATAAACATGTGTGTTCTGTATTATTTTGAACTAGCACAATATAAAGAAGTTGCAAAACAACATCCTTAAAAGTAATTCAAGTGGGAAACCAAGATGTCTCATATTAAATGGTAAAGTTATTACTTGGCACCAATTTAAAGCAGCTTTCCAATGGGATCAAGACAGCTTTTCGTTACCACTTCATGAGAAATTGACATTAGAACATTTCGAACTGGATTCGGCTGCCAAAATGAGAAATCATTTAGCGGAGGATGTTCTACATAACAAAATGCTCTTCTTGATGCAGGTAATTTTAATTAAAAAAGTTCTTTATAAATTATTCCATGGTGGATTGTATTGCATGTACTTAAATTATATTATTCATTAGTTCAACTATATAATAGTCTTAAATTATTACTTCAAATCTGCATATGGATTTTAATAAAATCCACTGTATATATATATATATATATATATATCGGTTTGGCATTGTAATGTATTGTGCTATATTGATTACTGAGACTATTTAACTGACAGTAGACAGATTTATATAGAGGACGCGGACGTCAAAGACGACGTGAAAATGGCGTCAAAATGGCGTGGTATATCCATACATGGGCACAACATGCCATTTTCACATCGTCTTTGACGTCCGCGTCACAGAATAAGAAGGTACAGCAGAAGTGTAACTCAAGCAAATATTTGTCCGCGTTTTTACAAGCGATTCGTCATCAATCACGCCATCCTGGCTAGTACAACCGGCACTTTGTACCTACCAAAACCTGATAAAAACTTCCGGCTGTACTAGCCAGGATGGCGTGGATTGGCGTAAGCGAGTTAAAATTTTCGTGGACGTAAAACACTAAAGGAACCGTCTCGAGTTACACTTCTGCTATACCTTAATTCTTATTCTGTGTCCGCGTCCTCTATCTAAATCTGTATATTTACAAAGTGATGCATATACCGAGCAAATTTCGATAAAATATTTTGTCTAAATCGTATATTTTAACCGTTGCAAAGTTGGGAACAACCATTAAAAATTAACTTGTGACTTAAGATCATGAATTTCACTTCAATTAATTGCCTGCACCAACATAATTATCACTAACTAATAATGCGTAACGATTGCACTACATATTTCATGTTTCTTTACAGAAGTATCAACAACATCTGGACGCAATAGGAAATTACGGATCTACAGTTGTTTCCGCCATTTCACTGTTGGAACATACAAGCGCAATCGTCAGTCTTTTTAACGACAAGATGTTCATCAACTCTACCAACGACGAGAGGTTGACAAAACTACAGAAATTTTACAATGTCATAGCAGAATGGACTGATAATTGTAAAGAATCGAAGACATCGTTTGTCTCAGATAAACTCTGGTTCGATTTGCAATCGATGTGTATTGGCTTCAAATCACTTGTATCTATCAAACTCCAGAACTTCCCCAACTCTGTGGTAAAGCCTGCAATAGTAAACCAAGATTGTGTTGAGAATCATTTTTGCCAAGTAAGGGCAAGTAACGGTCAAAATAACAACCCCACGTTTCTTCAACAACAATCAGTTCAGAATTCAGTCAGATTTGGTCAAACTGTGATAAGCAGAAAAAGCAATGCTGGAAAACCAAGATAAGTTTTATATATACTTATTAAAAACGTTCAACTTCAACGAATAACGTTTAATGATTGTGGTATGTAACTTAAAGTACAGCAATCATTTTTCAACTGTTTAATTTATAGAAGAGATTTTTTTGAATGGCGCGTTACTCCCGTTTGACAACATGAAATGCTCGTCTGCAGGCAATGATTGCACTCAATTTTCCTAAGTTGATTTAACATTTCTAACTTTTGATACGTCTCTCAATCTGCAAAGATGCGTAAAAAATATGTTAGTTGTTCGAAGAATGTAATTCATAAAATAATTCTAAATATAAAGATTAAGATTATGGTTGGGATATATGCCAAAGAGAAAATGATGTTCAATATTCAATAGGCTCAAACTTGAACAAGTTTGCTTTTATTATTGTAAACATGTCTTCAATATTATTTTAGTACTAATAGATGTTCATTTACAAAATTCGTTGATATTTTCCTGCATGTTCCTCAACCTCAATATATTTTTTAAAGGTAGAGATCTGTTTAAAATAGAAAATAATGCCTGAATTTGAGCGGGAAGTCATAACATTTTAAGCGACATTGGCAATTACGCGGCATATGAAAAATTCTCTTCTTATGACTTATAATAACACATAAATATGGAAATTATTAATTGGTAAGAGTAATTTCTGAGACAACAGTGAAGGCAGCAATTTAAGTGCAGAGAATATTCAAATAATGTAAACTATATTGCATTTGTTAAGCGAAGACGAATTCGAAACTGTCCATCAACTTCGGATGATTGAACCACTGTGTACTGACGATCATTAACAGGATAAATGAACGGGATACATGCATGTGTTGTGATTGCTTCCATCAACTTGTTTGACAACACTGTTTTGTTGCTCCTGTTTGTGACACGAACACCGTATGCTTCACACAACATCAAAAGTTGTGATTTGTTGTAGACACGACATAGGCCAGCATCTTTATATTTGTTTGTGAAACCGACTAGTCTCCCATGAGAGACAATTTTATTTTCACTCCGGTCACTTTCGATATCCTAATTCAAAAAATACAATAGAATTGCATTATAGGTACTTTCAATTATCTAGTACGATTCTAGGATTATAAGTTCCAGTTTGTTATAGTCCATCAGCCGGTCTGTCCGTCTGTCTGTCACTGAAGGAAAACCAAATAAATTCCCACAGTCTGTTTTCTAAAATCAACAAATTGAGATTAAAATGTCATTTTTTACCTTAAATGGAACACTATCGTTCTTTTCCTGTCGCTTTTCTTTTCGTTGAGTGACAGTCTTTCTTAATTCAGCATTTTTCTTCACTTTGTATTCCATTCTGAAGTCTTTCAAAAATTGTGATGCTCCCATATTTAGATAGTGGAACAGAATATCTTCCAACATTATATTGAGAAGATCCTTAAAAAAATGTTTTGAAAAATAAACTAATTAGAAATTTAGAAATTGAACTAATACGGAGTTGCATCATTGGCTAACCTGCATGTTCAAAATACTTTTTAAAAGAGGATGTTCAATAATGAAACAATGGGCACTTGATTGTCGATACGTTTACATGAGACCAGTACGAAAACCACAAAGTTTTTATCCATGGCACAGCAGTTACCTGTCTGAATTGTATTGTGCTTACATTCATCTCAGTCCAGCGAGTGGGATGACTTTATACCGGTCTGAACAGTCTCTTGTCCCGGTCTCGTGTCATGTGAACGTCTTATAGATATTACCATATGCACAAAACAAATTCAACACAATTTCTTTTCCCAATTTCAACTAGTGTTCATATAACTTTATATCAACAGTACACCGATGTTACGGAAAATATTTTATATGCTTTAAACACTCAATTGTTGAACAAGTATTGTAAAATCGTCAATGTCTTGTAAAATAATACTCACATGATATTTTGTGACATCTGTTATTCCAAAACATCGATTCCACTTTTCTGTAAGCATTTCGTCTTTCTTCATGTTCTCCATAGCATGCAACACCATGTCGCCTCGGGTTTTTTTCAGTCTGTGAACGTTCAACAATAACAACCTGCCAAATTAAACCAGACTAAACCAAATTAAACCAGACAAATTGAGCGTATGCTTAGACTGTGAGAAAGCCATTCCAGTAAGAACCAATCATGTGTCGAGAACTCTGAATCTTTTATGTTTTGGAAAACTTTTCCAAGCCCAGCCAATAGAAATCATTCTATTGGAAAGGTTTACTGATTCTGTCCAATGAGATAGCTGTATTAAACTATAGCCTTAGGTAAAATATTTCAAGTATGACATTTGATATTTAGATCTGTCAAGTCATTTCCTATTAATTAAGATTTAAGCTTGATATTCTCACAGAAGGTTCTCATCAATCAATATACTTGTCAACTGACACTTTATATTAATAATTATCCTGTTGATTATATTATGAGCTGTAAGTTTGACTCCCAAAGATGAATAATTAACATATATCATGATACTAATAACAACCAATAAGGAACATCGCAATTTCATGTGTATAACTTGAGTTACTTGACTGATATGTTTTATTATATTTAATTATATAATATAGATAACTGTACGATAAAATTTAGTGTGAGACTGTTCTGTTTTTCAATGCTTTAGCAAAACTTCATACTTGTCGGAACAAAGGATATATAAA